AGGGAGAGAGGGAGGGAGGAGAGAGGGAGGGAGAGAGAGAGAGAGAGAGAGGGTAGCAAGAGAGGTAATGGAGTGTGGATTTAGACAAATCACATAGACCATAAGTAGGATGGGTAGTTGGAAAGGAAAGTACCATGATGCTAGAATGGACTTTGACCTGTGTATCAGGTAGTCAGGATACCAAGGGAGGCTGGAGGCAAGCATGGGTTTTTGATGCACTGATTGGCTTTGAAGGTAACCATATGTCCTTTTTGCTGGAAGTATGGGAAATGACTCCATTCGGCAGATAAGAATTGGTCTCACACGTTCAATGCTGGCTTTTATCTGACAGAAATCCTTACAGTCAAGGTTGAGCTCATTTCTGGATATTTGAATTCCCTGAGCCCTAACAATTTTCTTATAATAATGAAAACTTCTCGGCACCACTGAGGTGGGAAAATGGACACAGGATCTCATCCCTAACCAAGACGTGCTCTGCAATGATATCCACTGGAAAAGGGAAAATCAGTTTTCTTCAATGGAGTCACTGGATATAGCAACTATACTCCATCCAGGTCAGGCCCCACCCCCCCAGGAATACTTGGCTAACACAAAACTAACTCAATGGTATTTTTGTTTCATTTTTGCATTGTTTTTGTCTTGTTGCTCTTTTGCCTGATTTGATTTTCATTTTGTGTGGGGTTTTGTTTCTCGCTTGCTTGCTCTTTTGGTTTTGTTTCTTTTTCTTTCCTCCTTTTTCTGAGAGTAAGAGAGAAAACATAAAGTTGGGTGGGAGGATCTGGAAGGAGTTGGGGGAGGGAAATATAATCAATATGTATTGCATAAATATGTTTTTTAAAAAATAAATTTGTTTTTGAGAGATTGTAGTTTGACATCAAGTACTCAAGAGCTGTTCGATTTAAGTTAGGCTTCAGCTGAGTTAGAAAGGCTTCTAATAACCAACAAGGAGAGAATTCACGTTACTGTGTTCACAAAGGAACCTATGATAAATCCACCTCCAGCAACCTCACTGATAAAGTGGGTGTTGGAAGCAACACTAGAATACTTGTTTATACTGACATCAGAGAGCAAAACACATCTAAAGCAATCTGTATACATGAAAATTAGCAGGGCTAAGATTTGTCATAGAAGAAGGTTGGAAAAAAAACAAATTTCAATAGCCCTGTAGGGAGCTGGGGGTCAGAAGATGGGGAGGGAGTATCTAAAGTGCAGGAAAATATTATTGTCATAACCTGGGGTCTGGAGAATGGGATGATGCTGTGGGAAACCTGCTTACACCTTCTGGGTCTTATTGAAATGAGGCCTGTAGGAAGTAAGGCACAGAATTACAGAGAAAGAAGAAGTTCAGGTCCTGAGTGGTGGAGAAAATGTGGGATGGATAAAAGTGACACTAACAGGGCATCCAGTGTTGGAGTTATGATAGAGGCAGAGTCATGATGCAATGGAGAGAATCTATTCAGTTGAATTTGATTTAACAAGTACTTGTCAAGTACTCTGAAGTAGTCTAGATGTTACAATGATATGAAGAATAAAGGGCAGACCTTCCCTAGAAAAATAGAAGGTAAATAAACAAAAGAATCCAATTATATATCACTTTTGCATAAACTACCTTGAATTATTTTTTAGCAACTATGCACTATTTGATTCCACTTCATAAATGAGGAAACTAAGACTTGAAGGAAAAATTTTTCTAAGGTCATAAATTTGATAATGAAACAAGGCCTTAAGTTTACACAGATCTTTTCATTTCAAATCTCACCTCTCCTTCCATAGAATCATAGTTCCTGTGCTTTGTACTGAAGATCCAGTGGTAAATGACATGCAGACTTCACACTTTGGCAGGAAGCAAATGGGTTTTAAATTGGCTTTGACATGTCATGAGAAACTCTGCTGATAGTAGGGCTGTAGGTGCCACAGTCAGTGAAATGGGTGGGATTTTGGTAGGTGAAGATCAATAAAGCATTTACATGAAGAAATTGTTTAAACAAAGCTGGAAAGCTGTCCAGTTGAGTTGGAGTCTAGGGAGAGTGCAAAAACTGGGTTGGAATGTACAATGAAGTCAGAACATCAGGCTTCTACAACATTCAATTAGCATTGTAACTTACTGAGCATGTGTCATGCTATGTTACCATTTGAGATATAGGAGGTACAGTAATAATCAAGATAAAAATATTTATTTGTCCTTATGGGCCTTTCATTCCATCTGGATAGATAAACAATAAATTAACAGTATCAAGAAAATCCCTATAAAATACAAAAAAGAAAAAAAAACAATAAGAAAAATGATGAGAAAGAAGGTTAAGTGACAAATGTTGGAGGGATTCTTTTTAGATTAAAGTCAGAGAAAGTTTTTCCAGTGGAGTGACAACAGGGAAAACCTGAATGAAATGAGAATTCAGACACACAACTCTTAAGGCAAAGACTATTCTGAAATAGAGAAGTAGCTGGTGCAAAGGTTTCCAAGTGAGAGCCAATGTGTCTGTTAGAATCATAGAGGAAAGAGGTCAGGGCCATTCCAATTGGAAAATGACAGGTCAGAGGAAAGTGGTAAGAGATGGGGTCTGGCAAGGTCATCCTGTGGAAGGGATGGGAAGGATACTTGGATTTTATTCTCAAGGTAGTGGGAAAGTCCTGAGGACTTTTAGTAGGATATCACATGATACAGTGTGCCTTTTTAAAAGTAATAGAAAGCCTGTAACACCAGTGCTAATTGTTCTTAACAATAAAAGCCCAGAGTCAGATATTAGGGGTAAAAGCTGAGAGATAAAGAAGCAGATCAGTCAGCCACTTGAACTCTTCTACAAAATACTCAGACTGAAAAGAGAGCAAGTTCCTGTCTCATCTCGCCTATATTCTTCTCTCTGCCCAGCCATCTCACCTCCTGTCTGTAAAGACCTCTAGACCTTTATGGTTAGCTAGTGGCTAGTTCTGCCCTCTGATCTTCAGGCAAGCTTTATTTGTTAGAGCAGAAACAAGGTTATCACCACAGAAGCCTATTCACTAAGAAGCTAGCTATAATGGAAGAGGAGGATGATACAGCTTTAGTGCTAGGAGTAGGGAGAAAAGAAAGGTAGATTTGGGCTATCTTGTATTTCATGATAAAGGAAATGACTTCTTGATGCATTTGAATGGGGAAGAGGGAAGGGTTATAGTGAAGTATTTTTCCTAGTGATTGACTGGAATAGTGTGATGACCAGTGAACACCTCCCTGAACTCTGAGCTTGAGGGAAAGAGCTGTTGCTATGGAGTATAGTTTCTATGTAGTATGGCCCAATGGCTTTCAGCATCCATTCCAAGCTTCTTCTATATTTACTTAACTTCCTTACAATGAGAATGCTGAATATGCATTAATGTTTTCCCAAGCTAGGGTATCAGACTTGTGGAGGATATAGAGTTGGCAAGACTTAATGGCCATCTTAATGTGGTGAGGGTGAAAAGAAATTGACTGGTAGAGAAGAGAGATGAAAATTATGTTTAGATGAAAAGAAAAGTTTATTTTGGCTGTTCATTATTTGGTTCTAATGATTTCTGTTGTAAGTGCTCAGAAACTTAGAGAACAAATATAGTTTAATTTTTGCATGTGTGTGTATGTGACAGTGCCTCATTCTGTTTTTCATACTGGCCTGAAAATTACTATTAGGCCAAACTGGCCTAGAATTTGCTAAGATCTTCCTGTCTAGCCTTCTGAGTGTTGCGATTAACAAGGACAAACCACCATGCTCAACTTCATAAAGATATTTTAGAAGATAAGAAATTTTATATCTATGAGTATTTTTCCTGCATATACTATGCATATTACATGTGTACTGTGTGTCTGCTGGGGTCAGAAAAGAGTTTCAAATCCTTTAGAATTGGAATTATGGATGGTTATGTGTAAATGGACATTTTTCCCACCCTCCTGTTCCCAAATAACCATTTAGAAGTTTATATTAATTACAAAATCTTAGTTGATAAGTCAGGCTTATTACTAACTAGCTCTTACACTTAAGTTAACCAGTTTCTCTTAATCTATGTTTACCACGAAGCTTGTGGCTTTACCTGTCCTCTGGCATGTCTTGTTTTCCTGCAGCTGGCTGGCATCTTTTCTCTTCTCCTTTTATCCTGCTGGCATCCTCTTAATCTGTTTTTTTTTCTGTCTAACTTTATCCTGTTTAGCTTTTGGCCAGTCAACTTGTTTATTAAACCAGTCACAGCCACAAATCTTCACAATGTACAAAGGGAATATTCCATGGTAGTTATGAGCCAACACATGGGTATAGGAACCAAACCCCAGAACTCCACAAGAATAGCAAGAGCTTAGCTGCTGGACTACCTCTCCAACCCTAAGAAATGAATATTTATTCTTAGAAAGTGTCCACAAGAGAAGGTCATATTTCCATACTGGAGAAAGGAAAAAGCCATCAGTATCTTTGCTCACCAATCATTTATTGAGATTTTAATATAATTTCATTTTCTACACATGGTCTTTGTCGAAAAGGTTTTTAGAATTGATAGCTTGGGTTGCCAGGGATCTTCAAACAGATGAGATGAATTTTCTGTCTGCGTGATAGATTAGTAGGGGTCTGGTCAGGTCTCATGACCCATCAATGGAGGAATAGGAGCTGAGACTTCAGAGATGTTAGTATCAGAGAAGCTTTCTGTGGTCTCTCTCTCCTAGAGGCTTCTCAGTGTGCTTCATCAAAGTATAGACTATGAAGCTTGTGGTTCCTGATATTTTACCCACAACAGTCAAAGGTCAACAAAGTCCAAAATCCCTTTCTTCAAATGTAGCATAAGTCTTCAGTGTGCCTTTTCCTGTTTCCAAACTTGAGGGAGAATGTTCTGCCATTCAATGATTCAATTAAGTTTTACCTAAACTGAAAACAAACTAGGAATGATTTAAACCCACAAAGTGATCAAAATAGAGATTGATTAGTTCACCTAATTTATTCCACCCAGCCAAATAACTCTAGAATTGCTACTCAAGGAACTGAAATTTCAAAAAATGACACTAGCTAGATTAGTCTTCAAAAGCATTCTCATAGGTAGATAAAAAGAAAAGGATGACATACAACTGCAACCTTTTAAACAGAAGCAAAGATAAATTGACATGTAGGTTTGGCCATTACCTCTGGTGCTCGTGCAGCCTAGTACTGATATGCTGCTTGCTCTCTTACATAGTCATAGAGAGGGTTGGGGGAATGAGCTGTTTTGGTAGAGTGGTTTTCCTGTTCTCTTCTCTGGGACCTTCCACCTCCATGGGTTTGATGGAAATGTCTTCCCTCAGATCCTTGGCACTGGTTATCTTCATTCTTGTGGAATCTTTCCTTGTTGGGGAAGTTTCTGGATTGGTCTTGGGATCCTCTATACCTCTCATTTTCTTCATGAGTTTGTCTACCCCATTGTTGATGATGAGTTTGATGTTTGTCTTTCCTCTCATGGTTTGGCTCATCTTCATGGGTTTGCCTGTTCTGCATCTCATACAGACTTTCCTGACCCTCAAGACTGTGTCTATCCCAGCTTTGATGATGCTCTTCCTCTTCCCAGTGGCCCTCCTCACCACTCTGTGATTGCCAGTCACATTCATGGGAATGTAGCTCTTCTTGGTGTATCTGAGCTAAGAGTTTGTGTTGATGATCCTCTTCAGGCTTCCAGGCCTGGTGATGGATTTGCTGCTGCTGAGAACTCTGGCCTTGTCTGCCTGTCTGACCCTGGTGGTAACTCTGCCTGTCTGTCTGATGCCAAAATGAGCCCTTATCTTGACTTCCTGACTGACCCTGCTGAAAACTATGGTCTTGTCTGTCTGTCTGACCCTGGTGATATCTTTGGCCTTGTCTGCCTGTCTGATCATGTGGAAAACTTTGGCATTGTCTGTCTGTCTGATGCCAATGTGAACTCTGGTCTTGATTATCTGCCTGACCCTGGTGAGAACTCTGGCCTTGTCTGTCTGTCTGACCCTGCTGAGAACTCTGGCCTTGTCTGCCTGTCTGACCCTGGTGACAGCTCTGGCTGTCTGTCTGATGCCAACGTGAACTCTGGTCTTGACTGCCTGTCTGACCCTGCTGAGAACTCTGGCCTTGTCTGTCTGTCTGACCCTGGTGATAGCTCTGGCTATCTGTCTGATGCCAACGTGAACTCTGGTCTTGACTGCCTGTCTGACCCTGCTGAGAACTCTGGCCTTGTCTGTCTGTCTGACCCTGGTGATAGCTCTGGCTGTCTGTCTGATGCCAACGTGAACTCTGGCCTTGTCTGTCTGTCTGACCCTGCTGAGAACTCTGGCCTTGTCTGTCTGTCTGACCCTGGTGATAGCTCTGGCTGTCTGTCTGATGCCAATGTGAACTCTGGTCTTGACTGCCTACCTGACCCTGCTGAGAACTCTGGCCTTGTCTGTCTGTCTGACCCTGGTGATAACTCTGGCTGTCTGTCCTATGCCAATGTGAACTCTGGTCTTGACTGCCTGTCTGACCCTGCTGAGAACTCTGGCCTTGTCTGTCTGTCTGACCCTGGTGATAGCTCTGGCTGTCTGTCTGATGCCAACGTGAACTCTGGTCTTGACTGCCTGTCTGACCCTGCTGAGAACTCTGGCCTTGTCTGTCTGTCTGACCCTGGTGATAGCTCTGGCTGTCTGTCTGATGCCAACGTGAACTCTGGTCTTGACTGCCTGTCTGACCCTGCTGAGAACTCTGGCCTTGTCTGCCTGCCTGACCCTGGTGATAGCTCTGGCTGTCTGTCTGATGCCAACGTGAACTCTGGCCTTGTCTGTCTGTCTGACCCTGCTGAGAACTCTGGCCTTGTCTGTCTGTCTGACCCTGGTGATAGCTCTGGCTGTCTGTCTGATGCCAATGTGAACTCTGGTCTTGACTGCCTACCTGACCCTGCTGAGAACTCTGGCCTTGTCTGTCTGTCTGACCCTGGTGATAACTCTGGCTGTCTGTCCTATGCCAATGTGAACTCTGGTCTTGACTGCCTGTCTGACCCTGCTGAGAACTCTGGCCTTGTCTGTCTGTCTGACCCTGGTGATAGCTCTGGCTGTCTGTCCTATGCCAATGTGAACTCTGGTTTTGACTGCCTGTCTGACCCTGCTGAGAACTCTGACCTTTTTTTCCTGTCTGACCCTGGTGAGAACTTTGGCCTTGTCCACCTTTCTGACCATAAAGGAAATTCTGACCTTTGTTCTTAGTCTGACCATAATGAGAACTCTGGCTTTGTCCATCTGTCTGACCATGTTGGAAACTATGTCCTTGTTTGTCTGGCTGGCCATAGTGAGAATTCTGGGTCTGTCTGTCTGTCTGACTGTTACCTGACTTCTGATGAAGCTTTCCATATTGTTCATAAGAACCATGTTCTTGTCTACTGGTTTGACTAGAATAAGAATCTTGTCGGAGTCTTCCAGACTGACCACCACTGCTTTGTCGTCTAAATGTTTTCGACTGGCCATAATGAGAAACCTGAGCTGGGTTCTCAGGCTGATTGAAGGCAAAGATATATTGTTGGCTTTTGGGCTGGTCATTGCTAGATTTATAACCCAGACTTTGACCAAAGCTAGAGTGTTTATCATCTGTCTCAGACTGATCAGAGCTATAATCTGTGTCTTGTCTCTCAGAACAACCATGGTGGGAGTCCTGATGGAATCTCTCTGACTGACCATGGTGGGAATCCCTATCTTGTCTCTCTGACTGTCCACAGTGAGAGTCTGTATCATGTCTCTCAGAGTGACCACAGGAGTCCTTATCTTGTCTCTGAGACTGATCATGTTGGACATCCTTACTCTGTCCCTCAGACAGGTTGTGGTGAGAGCTCTGCCTATCTTGTCTGCCAGTGTTTTCTGAAAACTTACGGCTCTGTGTCCCTTTCTGACCCCATTCTTTCTGGGAGGAGGTTCCAGCTCCATACACCTTACTATCTAACTTACGATGGCAGGCTTGGACCAATTGGAACACCAACAAGAGGTATTCTTGAAAATCAACATATCCATTTCTGTCTCGGTCCAAGTGTTCCAGAATGATTTCCACAGTGTCTGGGTCATTTGGTCTCTGTAACAAGAAAGAAAAAGGAAATGTTCTTTTATGGATGCTGCATTGTATATCGGTCTTAATGTCCCAATCCTCTTTCAAACAGATTTCCCTTTTTATTTTATCCTTCTTTCTTTCTTTCTTTCTTTCTTTCTTTCTTTCTTTCTTTCTTCCTTTCTTCTTTCCTTTCTGTCCTTCCTTCCTTCTTTTCTTTTCCTTTCTTCCTTCCTTCCTTTCTTCTTTTCTTTCTTTCTTTCTTTCTTTCTTTCTTTCTTTCTTTCTTTCTTTCTTTCTTTTTTGAGAAACCATTCCTGTGAATGAAGAGGCTTGGTTCTGGTTCTGGTCCTAGCCATTGATCAGCTTGCTTTCTAAACCTCAGCCTTTGATGAATCAATTCAGGTATGACCTCAGGGAACAGACAACTGTATTAACAATTATTTTGAATCATTTGAAAAAGTTATTACTTTTACATGATATAGCCCACATGTTTATATACCTCTTTATCACTACACTGTGGCATTCTCAAAGTAAAAAAGTTAGTTTTATTCATGTTTGTATCCTCAGTAACTAGGATTGTGCCAGTATGGAGCAGGTACTCAATGAATCCTAGTAAACTAATGAATAAATACATGACAAGGTATGCTTGCAGCATTACATATAGAAAATATGAATGACAAATTTTAAAAAAGTTATTCCATACTACTTTGAAATTGTCTGTGTTTTGTTTACATACAAAGAAGGAGGTGTGTGTGTGTGTGTGTGTGTGTGTGTGTGTGTGTGTGTAAAAACTATAGAGGAGCTATCTGAATTAGAAGGTGCTTACCAGTATGTTACTAGTGGGTAATGACCAAATGAAACATAAATATTAGTAAGATATCCTGTATGCAGACATCAGACTCATGCATTCCACTCCACAGGATCAAGAATCTGTGTATCTTACCCGAAGGATGCCTCCAAACTCAGTGACAAGCAGCTGCTTCAACTCCTCCTTGCTCAGTAAAGTGTGTTCCCCATGGTGTTCAGCATATTTCTGGAATACCTTACTCACATTGAGTATGCTATTAAGAAGTTTAGACATTCTGAAAAAATGCAGGTGAATCTTTTAAAAAGAAGAAAAAAAAAAAAGAAAAAGAAGATTTTGTTTGTAAGCATTTCCAGAGAGTGGTTTCTTGAGTTTGGGAAAGAGATTTAAGAAACCATAGGGTACCTTCTTAGTCATAATTTTAGGCTAGTCATTATGTGACTAACTTTCAGGCTCCAAATATCATAAACAATCATGACAGCTATTCAAAACAGTTTTTCTTTGCTAGGAAAAAGGCAAATTCTTTTAAAATTAGACATGTGTAGTAGATAATTTACATGGCTTACTCTCTACTCTGGGTGGGAGCTGCTTGACTGAGACTCTTATGTAAGAACAAAAAATGAAGAGAGGTTAGTCCAAAGAGGATGGGCCAGAGGTAAGCATAGCAGTGTGTAATTTTCTAACAATGACCGAGGAGAACAGAAAATGCATGCCATCAAAGAAGTATCTATTTTCTAATGTCTCCTTGAAGCAAGGAAGAAGGTAAAAATATCCCTTTCAGTGGTCTAAGAAATCTTTCTGAGGAGTTAAATTCTGGAAAATACTTTTACCTGCTTATTAAATGGAATCAGTAAATGAAAAAAAATGTTAGAGAAGAATAGCAATTGGACACACTGCACACATGACAGGAGGCAGTACCAGACAGGTCAACATTGGCTGTGTTGGGCAGTAAGGGTCTTCTGCAATCTGTATGCCAATTTTCCTTCTTGTGCTACAAAATTACAAAATTCTCTCTCTCTCTCTCTCTCTCTCTCTCTCTCTCTCTCTCTCTCTCTCTCTCTCTCTCTGGTTTTTCAAGATAGGGTTTCTCTGTGTAACAGCCCTAGATGACCTGGAACTTGCTCTGTAGGCCAGGCTGACCTTGAACTCACAGAGTTACACCTGCCTCTGCCTCTGCTCCCCAAGTACTGGGATGAAATGTGTACACCACAACCGCCTGGCCATGGTACAAAATTCTAGTAACTGTGCTTATAGGCTCCTGAAAATGAAGTGCCAACTGCAAAACACAGGCATACAGTAATGCCTGTTCATGATAGTGACAAATAATAGATTGTGTGGGACAAGCTGAGTCTTTTGTGAAATTGAATATTACTGAGTCCCCATGGTCCAGGGCCTTGCCTAACTTATACAAAAGGTGAACACTCCTCTACAGAAAAGTCAGCTATCAATTAGTCACTCAGACTCTCGGTTTGGGGACATGGAGGGCTCACATTTCACAAATTTAGAGGTAGGGCACTCTTGCATTCATCATATTGTAAGATAGATGCCCAAGAGTCACCAACAGGAAATAGTCTCTGCCATCCACACTCTTTGGATACTGCTATTGCTCCAGCATGCATGTCTTACCTGCTTGAGGAAGAGTGAACAGAAGATTCAGGAGCCAGGGAGGGTGGCAGAGACCTGAAAACCCATCCTATTTATAGGGTTTTTTTAAATTATTGTACTAAGTCATCCCAGGAGACACCCATTCAGCGGTAGGGCCTGAATCATTCTGGGCTCAACCCAGTTCAGCCCAGCCAACCCAGCATGACTTCTCCCTCTGCAAACCGTTTGGTTTATTTACTTCCCCCATTTGCTCACAAACCTGTTTGTCATTGTAGTAGATGACACTTTTCAAGTCTCAGCCCCACTTAATTAAGGGAGTATGTGTGCTACATGGTGCGTGGGTTGAAAAGACAGAGGTTCCTGCTGAATTGATTCTTAGAAATTGTTAATTGCCAAGGCTGATGAGGGTAAACAACAGTTAAATCATACCAAAGAAAGATGGGTTTATGTTCTGTTACAAAATCCCACTCAAGTAGCGATCAGAGAATCTAAATATTTGGTCAGGACATATTTCTTGGGAAACATGTCTTAAATTCACATTTTGCTTGTAAAAACAGATATTGTATTTCCTACTGACCTATTTTTAATGGCTATTCTTTTCTACAGTCTAGTAGGATAAGGTCAATTTTAGGGACATATTGGGTGACAGGTGATGAAGGTAGAGCTGACACTTGAGTGTTTTTGTTTTTTTTTGTTTTTTTTTGTTTTTTTTTTTTTTTTTTGTATTGTTTTGTTTTTTGTCCGAGACAGGAGGGTTTCTCTGTGTAGCCATGGCTGTCCTAGAACTCACTTTGTAGACCAGGCTGGACTCAGAGATCCACTTGCAACTGCCTCCCAGATTCTGGGTGGGATTAAAAATGTGCACCACCACCACCTAGCATGATATTTGAGTCTTTAAGTCTTACTAAAATAGTTGGAGTAGGGGGACAACCTGGAAGCTTATGATGTCTGTGAGATAGAGATATTGTTCATGACCTGGGCTTCCACTTATTTCCTATCTCTGTAACATCTGTGACATACCCCTGCAGTGTCTTGATCAGAGAGATACTTAATAAATCTTCAAGAATGAAGTGAATTGTTGACACATCGGAGAATCTCATGTAAGGAACAAAGGGCTTGAGATTCACCTGCCTTTCTGCTTTGTCTCACAAGTGCTGGTTGTATATATTACAGATGCAAATATGATCATATCAAGTAATTGATTGTGTGATTATATAATTAGTTACACAATTGATTATATAATTGATCCATCAGTCAGTTATTTCTAATGTCACTTGCTATTGTTTACTATATCTTTAGGATTTTGCAAAGGAATCATAAAAGTTCAGAAAGGTTTTACTAATTTGATTAAAGAGTCTCCACATGAGAACGGTTTTGGAAGACCAGTGAAGGACATAGTGTTCAGTAATTAGAAAATATAGCTGGAATCCTTCTGGGCTTGTCCTGGGGTTTCTTCAACTCTAGTTTTGTAAGCAAGAGTTACATTGTTTTTTGGAACACTGAGATGGGAAGAGAAGGGGAGAAAGCAAAGGCCAAAGTTGCATAGTTGAGAACTCACATGAAGCTTGAATTACCATGGGTGCCAATGTCTGGGAAAGTAGAGAGTGATAAAAAAAAAATAGAGGTAGAGAATTTAGGAGTTGAAAGAGAAATTTAGTCTTGGCATCTAATTTATAGAAGGGGAAACTGAAGTTTCTAGTTATCCTGAGTGACCTGCTGAAGGATTCACAAGGCTGACAGAAGCCAGGCCTAATGTACCTTGACCTCCCCGGCACAGTCCACTCTCCTCTCCCCTCCTTTCCTCTCCTTACTTTCCCCTCCCCTCCCCTCTTCTCCTCTTCCTCCCCTTTCCTTCATTTCTTCATTTCTATCTCTCTTTCCTGAGGTATGATCTCACTATGTAGACCAGGCTAACCTCCAACTCATGGCAATCATCTTGTCTCAGTCACTCAGTTACTAGGATTACAGGTGTGTTACACACCTGGACAGTCTGCATTTTATGCATTCTATGGAAGATATCTAGGGCCCAACTCAAGGGTTTATTTTAATGATAAATGTTAATTGAGTGTTTTGCTGGTTTTGTTGTCAGCATTGTTTTGGGGAAGATTTTAAGTTCATTGCTGTATATGACTAGTCTTAATTACTCTGGAACTGAGGAATTTCCCAAGATTAGACATGAATGCTAAAAGCAGGAATGCTCTGGGCAGCCTGGGATATGTCAATCACTGTCATTTGTGGTGAATGGATGAACCTGGAAGCAAGTGAGGGGCTTTGATCCTGATGGGGCAAATTAAACTGCAGGATGGATAGATGAAATCTGGAAAGAAAAGTTTTTTTTTTTTTTTTTTTAACAGATTCAAGAAGTGGAGATGTCAGGAATCATCCCAACGATTTAATCTAGGTGTCTAGCACAGCAGGATAAACAAGGAATGTATGTAACTTTTGAACCTGGTGGAACCTAAGAACAACTGCTTCTACAGGCATTCCCCAGGGCCCTTTACAGTCTCATGTCCTGTTGCTACCACTGCTTTCTTGGCAGTGAAAAATTGCTAATGCTGAAATTCATTTTGCTTTTGCATCTATGCTAAGTATTCTACATCTCTTCTTGAATATTAGGATGGAAGATCCCAATGCAGCAGGCTAAACCTAGAGGTGAATAAGGGGGAAAGTGTAGAAAGAAATACTGTGGGAAGTTCCTGGGATGTGTGGCAGATGGGTGTTTTTTCTTTTTTTGGGGAGGTGCGATAAGGTGCTAGATAAGCAGTGTTCTTTGCTTAATGTTGTCGCAGGATTATTGTGCTCTTATAAGTAGGATCTTCAGTACATGAATTCACTTAACACTTAAGCTCTCTGGCATGTCACAATCACCTAGTCAGTTATTCCATGGATACTTGTGAGCATATGGAAGGCCGTTTTGTAGGCCCAGGGTTAAAATATAATCCCTGTTCTTTGTTTATGTGGGGGTATCTGTGTCTCCATGTGTGGGCCTGTGTACAAACAAGTATGCTTATAGGCCAGAGCTCAACATCAGCTGTCTTCCTCAGCTGCCCCTACCTTACTTTTTAAGAAAAAGTCTCTCGCTGAATCCAAGCTGATTTCTTTTAAAGTTAATTTTTATTTAAATTAAAAAACAATCTTGTATTATATACCAAACCCAGTTTCCTCTCCCTCTCATTCGTCCTCCCAATTCCCCTCCCCCCCCCCATGACCTCTCTCCTATCTCATCCCCATCCACTCCTCAGGGAGGGTGAGGCCTCCCATGGGAAATCATCAGTCTGTCACATCATTTGTGGCAGGACCTAGGCCCTCCCCAGGTATCTAGGCTGAGAAAGTATCCCTCCATAGGGAATGGGCTTCCAAAGTTCATTTGTGCACTAGGGGCCCCAGAGACTGCCCAGGCCTCCCAACTGACACCCACATTTAAGGGGTCACCAGCTGTCAGACTGGAGTCCATGAGCTCCCACTTGTTCAGGTCAGCTGTTTCTGTGGATTTCCCCAACATGGTCTTGACCCCTTTGCTCATCACTCCTCCCTCTCTGCAATTGAATTCCAGGAGTTCAGCTTAGTGTTTCACTGTGGGTCTCTGCCTCTGCTTCCATCAGCTACTGGGTGAAGGCTCTAGGATGGCATATAAGGTAGTCATCAATCTCATTATAGGGGAAGGCCATTTAAGGTAGCCTCTCCACTATTGCTTAGATT